TCATCGGTATTAATATAATGATAATCATAATAATAATAATGCTGATATCAACAACAAGAACAACAACAACAATAACAATAACAATGATGATGATGATGATGATGATGATGATGATGATGATGTTGATGATGATGATGATGATGATGATGATGATGATGATGATGGTTATCATACCTATTATTGAAATGACCATCATCACCATTATTATTATCATCATCATCAGTAGCATCATTACACATTATGTAATATCATTTCAAGTGTTGTTGAGCCAGAACAGCTAGTTGCTCGTAACCTACAAAAGTGGGCAATCATCGCAGAGCTAACGTGTAGTTATGAGCTCGAGCGTGTAGTCTGCTGACACGTCAGGCACTACATAATTATATTATTACACTACCGTTTGAATGAGAAATTAAAAAAAACACCATAGCATGTGCAAATCTTGACAGATGTGGCATATTATCTTAAGAAAAGATTTTCGTTACATTGAAAATGTAAAATCTGACAGTGGTCTACAATGTAATAAAAATAGTAATATATCAAAGCAGAAACGGAGGAGGACGAAGGCCTGCGTGTGTGCGTGGGTCAGCAACGGTCGAACGGTCATGGTGACAGGTAATAGGTGAAGATTAGATTTAAGAGAAAATACCCTGACTTTTCTTAGTCTGGTATCTATAGCTTTATCATAATCAACGAAAATACAGACATTATTGAGTTTTGGAAGTTTGAATAGAAGGTGTGGCTTAAAAAGTGTCAGGGGTTGTATTTCCCAATTTTGTGAGAAAACACGATTTTGTTTGATACTCGGTTTTCATTTCAAACAGCAGTATATAATACACAGAGGAGAGCTTATAAAACGCCATTTTTGAGTGGAATCTACAGGCCGACAGCCACAGAAACTGGCCATGGCTCGTGCTCAGTCTTCAGCGTTGTTCCTTTTACTCTTAATTGGATGGGGGACCATTTCATCTGGAGATCGGACCTCTGACATCATTGACAGAGTACAGTTTGTCTGTTTATTTGTTTGTTTGATTACTTTTTTCTTTGTTCTTTTTGTTCATTTGTTCTTTTGTAGGTGTGGATCGGTTTCGTCTGAATACCAGTCCCTTGACACCTTTAGCAAAATAAACTTTGATTGTTTATTTGTTTGTTTGATTTTTTTTACTTGTTCTTTTGTAAATGTAGAACGCAAAACCAGTTATTTAACACATTATATAGCAGAGTGCTTGTTTGTTTGCTTTTTAAAAACATTCTTTTTTTTAGATGTGCAACGGGAGACCCATGGTTTTGACACATTAGCAAAGTAAACGTTTGTTTGTTAATTTGTTTGTCTGATTTCTGTATTTTTAATTTTTTGGGGGGTTTTGTTTAGTAGACTACTCTTGATTCAAACGATATCAGCGGCGTTTGGGGTGGAATGATTAGGCTCGTCACCGTCACACCCAAAAGAATTTATTTCAATTCCCCAGTGGGGATATTGTTTTATCAAATGTCTCTACCTATTTCTTTACTTTGTTCCTGAGCTTTGTAATTCTACATATTTCGTTTTCTTTCAAATTAACATTATAAATCAGTTTCAAAGAAAGTTTCTTCTGCTCTCTGTTTTATTTCCCCTTTAATATAACGATTCTAATCTGTATCATGAGACCCCTTTCTCTGTGGATTTCATTTCTCAGGATTCATTAATCAACTGATCTATCAACATTTTGCTCCCCTTTATTTCTGTTTATTCTCTCCTCGTTTTTCTCCGCCAGTCCCCGCCCCCACTCCCGCTTGAATACCCCACCCCATCCTCATCCTCCCCATTCCTCGTCAGATTTTTTGTTTCAGGGACCGAATGGCCAGATGATGTTCTGAAATGAATACGTGTGTGAATGTTTTCTATTTTAACTTTTTCATATTTGATTACATTCCCAGCTTCCATTCTATACGGTTATCATTGGTATGGGAAAAATCAATATCAAAATCATGAAATTTTAATGCAGTAGATAAAAACGGCATTGCATATTGGCAAAGTCTGAGATTGTAATGGCGACAATTCGTACAGATCTGGGAAAAAGTGGTATTGAACATGATCTAAATGCAACTGTATTCAGTCATATCCATTGTTATATTATTTGTTTCTTTCAGACATTGTTCACGGTGTTTCATTTTTTCTAAAAATATGTAGACAAATACTGCCTTTATTAAATAGGTAGTCATAGATTATATGCAAATGTCTTCAACGATTTATTCATTATTATGTGAAATTGAATGCTGATTGTAGGCTCAAAGGCTGTTGTGTTGAAGCGTGACATTCTGTTAAAGTGCATGTCCCTTACTCTAACCCATCCCTCCACCCTCTCTCTTGCGTTTGTGAGATTTCAACCCTGTTTCACCCAGTCTCTCTCTCTCTCTCTCTCTCTCTCTCTCTCTCTCTCTCTCTCTCTCTCTCTCTCTCTCTCTTCTTCTTCGTCTTCTTCTTCACTCATATTCTCTCTATCTCACTCACTCTTATCCATACTCCCACTCACTACCGGTGTCTGTCGTCTGCTGGATCCAAGACTTTTCACGAGCTCTGTGGTTGGGCAAAAAGTAGAAGAAAATTCGGTTACATGCACCTTTTTTTTTGGTAAGTGTTTTACGGGGTTCGCATCTGCATAAGGTCATATGAGTGCGCGGGACACATTTAACTTTTTCAGTAGGTAGGAAATTTTGAATTTTGCCTGGGTGGCGGCCGAAGCGTACTCCTATCGATTTTAGACCACCAAGGGATCTTTAACGTGCTCACCTTGCACACGGGCCCTCCGAGATTTGTATCCCTTGTCCGAGAAGGCTAGGTGTAGATCTTTTCTACCATAAGATCAGGGGTGAGGCTGAAGACAGCAGTTAGAAGGAGCTAAGGGGTAGCAGTAGAAAGGCTGCAGAAAGAGTCAGGAGCCCAGTGAAGGGGGTAAAAGGGGGTGGTGGGGGTGGGGGAGAAAGAGGAGACGAAAGCAGACAAACAGAACATTGTTAGAGAGCATGAAGGGACGGGAAAGGAGACAATTTTAGGGAAGAAAATGTTTCGGTCGCTACCTGGAATCGAACCCGGGACCTTTGAATGAGAGGTCAACACCTTAACGAGAGCCCCCAAATGCATCTTTGTTACAGTCGTAAAAGCACATGATTCTATGTGGCTTGATGTCCAAACTTTGTGTCTGTGGAAAGAGGTGGTGGTGGAACAGCGATATACCCCTTACCTCGGACAAACAATCCCTTTACATTCTGATCCAACCCCTCATGTTGACGGTTGAGAGGGAACAACGACGCAACTTACTTTAAACAAGTAATTAAGCTGTGATTTTTGAAACTTTTAGACCTTCCATAACTCAATTTCGGGCCTGGCAGTGAAGTGGTTAAGGCTAGCCTCTCGCGCTGTCGCACGCGGAAGACTCAAGTCCGATTTTCATGTGGGGCATATATTCTTTTCTTTTCTTTTTCTTCTGTTCTTTTTGGTTGTTGTTAAATTGAGTACCTCCATCTGTCTGCTCTGAAGTTGCATCCCTCTTATCTCAGGTTGGTCCGGACAGACTGGGCCGACACACCATAACTCTGTATCTATTATTCATTTTCTCTCTGTCTTTCTCTGTCAATTTCGTGTCACCTACTCTCTCTCTCTCTCTCTCTCTCTCTCTCTCTCTCTCTCTCTCTCTCCCCCATCTCTCTCTCACTCGTTCACTCGATCTCCCTCTCTCACTTGCTCACTCCATCTCCCTCATTCGCTCTTTCATTCTCCTTCTCACTCTTTCATACTCAAAATCCCCTACAACTTACTCCCCTTCTCTTTTCCCCTATTCTCACCCATCCACACTCCTTTCCTCTTTCTCTCTCCTCATATCTCCATCTTAGTGTGTGTGCGTTTGCTTGTTTGAGTGAGTGAGAATGTGTGTGTGTGTGTGTGTGTGTGTGTGTGTGTGTGTGTGTGTGTGTGTGTGTGTATGTGTGTGTGTGTGTGCGTGTGCTTATCTATCTATCTTTGTATAAATATCATATATATTATATATATATATATATATATATATATATATATATATATATATGTGTGTGTGTGTGTGTGTGTGTGTGTGTGTGTGTGTGTGTGTGTGTGTGTGTGTGTGTGTGTGTGTGTGTGTCTGTGTGTGTGTTTGTACGCGTACATGTGTGAATACGCGCTTGTATGTGTATGCGTGAACTTATGTACGTGTCTGTGTATTGTATTCACCAAACACCGTTTTATTATAGTTATGCTCTACCAGTTTCGCCCACAGCAACTTTCTCGAGCGAATGAATAATAGAAATATAATTTAATATTTCCCCCCTTTGTTAAAAAGTAGGACTCACTGCACTGGTAGGCGCACATAATATACCGGCAAACCGGACGTTTGATGTCAATGTCTTTGTGGCAAAACGGGTTAATTTCATTATTCGAGTTTTATCTTTTACGCATTTCAGATCACGAGCAAGTTTTTTAACCTTTACATTGAATTCTTTTAAAACAAAACACGTTGTATCTAATGTTTTCGCTGGCTTGTGTTTGGTTTCTTTTTGTTCTGGATATAAAGCTTTTCGTCACAAAACTACTACTACTACTACTACTACTACTACTACTACTACTACTACTACTACTACTGCTACTGCTGCTGCTGCTGCTGCTGCTGCTGCTGCTGCTACTACTACTGCTGCATGCTTCCGGGAAGCTGAGAATGTTTCCGAGTTTTCTATGGTCTGCTGGGGTAATAATATTATACTGTAAAGCGCGTAGAGCTTGCTTTCGAGTGGGGACATGTGCTATACAAATGCTATTTCTTCTTCTTCTTCTTCTTCTTCTTCTTCTTCTTCTTCTTCTTCTTCTTCTTCTTCTTCTTCTTCTTCTTCTTCTTCTTCTTCTTCTTCTTCTTCTTCTTCTTCTTCTTCTTCTTCTTCTTCTTCTTCTTCTTCTTCTTCTTCTTCTTCTTCTTCTTCTTCTTCTTCTTCTTCTTCTTCTTCTTCATCTTCTTCTTCTTCTTCTTCTTCTTCTTCTTCTCCTATATCGCAAGAAATAAATAGTGTGGTGAAGGGAACTGAAACCCGTGGAAGGAAAAATTTTGTTTTTTCTGAAGAAATAAACATTTTTTATGCCTTGTCAGGTTTTTGTGTGGGGTCTGTTGGGTGGTGGCCCAGGGAACGGGGAACCTAAATTACGGGATTTTAGGGGGGGAGGGGGGGAGAGAGAGAGAGAGCGAGAAAAAGAGAGAGGGAGCGAGCGAGAGAGGAACCGAGAGAGAGAGAGAGAGAGAGAGAGAGAGAGAGAGAGAGAGAGAGAGAGAGAGAGACAGAGAGACAGAGAGACAGAGACAGCCAGAGCCAGAGACTGGGAGGGAGAGAGGGGGGGGGGGGGGGGGAAGATATATATATATTTATATACATATTTATTATCTATTTGTGGTGGCCGAATTTTGCTATTCAAAAGGCTTTCTAATGGCTGCATCGATCGACATGCGGTTTTTGCCAAAAGATTCTTTAAAATATTCTCCAGAGCATGGCGCTCTTCGTTTTTTCAGTTTAGAGACAGTTTTGCTGCAAAAAGTTTAATTTCTTTATTTCGCTGATCGCTTTTGTAGGCCGACGCTTCTGTCTTTGTAATTTTAGAAAATCTGGAAGTGATATGTGATATTTCGCGAGGTGCATTTTGTTTTGAGAGTATAGATCTAGACCTCATAATTTTTGGCATCTCTCAAGATTTATTGTCCCATTCCAGTAGAGTGTAAATATAGTAGGCCAATGACTTTAAGTTGATATTAAAGCACCGATCATTCCTTTCATCGAAAGGGGGCCCAGCTTGTATTATCTATTTGTGGTGGCCGAATTTTGCTATTCAAAAGGCTTTTTAATGGCTGCATCGATCGACATGCGGTTTTCGCCAAAAGATTAATTAAATTATTCTCCAGATCATGACGCCCTTGGTTTTTTTCAGTTTTGATACAGTTTTGCTGCAAAAAGCTAGATTTAAATTTCTTTATTTCCGCCGATCGCTTTTGTAGGCCGACGCTTCGGTATCTGTAATTTTAGAAAACCCGAAAGGGATATTTCGCAAGGCGCATTTTGTTTTGAGAGTATAGATCTAGACCTAATTTTTTTTGCATCTCTCAAGATTTATAGCCCCATTCCAGTAGAGTGTAAATTTATATGGTAGGCCAATTACTTTTAGTTGATATTAAAGCACCGATCATTCCTTTCATCGAAAGGGGGTCCAGCTAGTGTATATATATATATACTTAAACGAAGAGACCACAAAAACACTGGTAACATCTCTTATCCTATCTAGATTAGACTATTGTAACTCACTCCTGGCAGGTCTGAACAACAAATATTTGAATCGTTTACAAGTAATTCAAAACAATGCCGCTAGACTGATAACAAGATCTAAAAAACGAGACCATGTCACTCCATTATTAAAAGAACTGCATTGGCTCCCTGTAAAAGAACGAATAATATTTAAAATCTGCGTCATGTGTTTCAAATGTGTAAATAAAACTGCTCCTTTTTATCTACAAGAACTTAGCAGTATATATAAACCAGGGAGAAACCTAAGATCATCAAACGATAACACCCTACTTGTGACACCTGTAAAATCATACAAATCATATGGAGAGAGATCTTTCTCATATCTTGGTCCATTTATGTGGAACAGATTACCCATGAAACTAAGACAAATAAGAACACTTGATAGCTTCAAGAGACATCTTAAACATTTTCTGTTCCTACAGGCCTATCCTTCATAAGCTTTTAACGTTATCTTTCATTATATTTGTTCTGTTCCTATGTCTGGATGAAAATAGTCTCTCTCTCTCTCTCTCTCTCTCTCTCTCTCTCTCTCTCTCTCTCTCTCTCTCTGTGTGTGTGTGTGTGTGTGTGTGTGTGTGTGTGTGTGTGTGTGTGTGTGCATTAGGGGGGGGGTTTTTTTGTTTTGACAAAGAGGGGGGGGGGGGCTACAAGCCCAAAATCAAAATTCGGCTCAAAATCATGGAATTTGAGTTATAGGCATTTTTAGCTTCCTTAGCCTCTCCTACAACTATTTCATGGCATAAGAACCCCCAAAAAGCGTATTTTCCCCATACCGGGCATGTTTGTAACCGCCATTTCCTCATAAAGTCAGTATTTTCTTTTTCTTTATCGGCCGTTTTCTCAAAATGCGACTTTTCTCTATACTTTTTAAAATAACTCCTCCATTTTTCATCCAATCTTCATGAAATTTTCACAGAATGAAGAGAAGAGGTAATACTAAAAAATTTTTAGTTGAATTTTTGATATATGGAATAGATTTTTGTTGGTGGTGTCTGGAGTGTGGATTTTCACGGATTTTTCGCAAAATTGAATGCTACCTCAGGAAAAAATGTATAAAAGTTTTTCTTATTCGATTAGGAAAAAAACAACAGACAAATTTTTAGATGTAATATTTGTGAATACGCATGCAAAAAAACAATTAATTTCCATGAGCGATAAGTGCGGTATTCATTACGTAAGACATGTCAATAAAATCCAATATGGCGGCGTATCCATGGAAACGAAACTTTTTTCTCAAATTTGATTGCGGATTTTAAGACTCCTTACTGTGCTTGTTATATGTGTGAAATTTGGTAAATTTCGGTCCAGTAATAAGCGAGATAGCCTCCAGGTGTAGCCCCCCCCCTTAAGGTATATTGCTTGAGAAGAAAGGAAGTAGTAAGAAAGGTTTTTGAAAAATGGGTATTCCAATGTAAAGCACATTGAGCTACTTTTTTTGGAAATGCGCTATATAAATGTTATATATTATTATTATTTTATTATATATATATATATATATATATATATATATATATGAATATATATAGGTAGATAGCTAGATAGCTAGCTAGATAGATAGATAGATAGATAGATAGATCGATAGATAGATAGATAGATAGATAGATAGATAGATAGATAGATAGACTGACAGACAGACTGACAGACAGACAGACAGATAGATAGATAGATAGATAGATAGATAGATAGATAGATAGATAGATAGATAGATAGATAGATAGATAGATAGATAGAGAGAGAGAGGGGGGTGAACTGAGAGAGAGAGAGAGAGAGAGAGAGAGAGAGAGAGAGAGAGAGAGAGAGAGAGAGAGAGAGAGAGAGAGAGAGAAAGAGAGAGAGAGAGTGACAGAGACAGAGACAGAGACAGAGACAGAGACAAAGACAGAGGGAAATGAATGCTAGATAGACAGTGAAAGAGAGAAAGACTAAAGAGAAAGTGAACGTACACCTTTTTATCGAAACCATTAATTTAAGTATGTGTGAAGATCTAGTTTAAAAAAATCAACTAAGCTAGCCACGAAAGTGCAACATATCTAGAGTAGGAACAATTTGCACGGCATGAGAAATTGGGCCTCTGAAGTCAACGAAATATGATATTGGTAAAGAGAAGTGTTTAATATGTTATGTAAAACCTTCTAATAAGAAACCAAATATTGTCTACTGTAATAAGTACGTACTAGGGACCACTTGCTTTACACAGCTCAATAATAAAATGTGTGGCTATGTTGTGCAATCAAGCGGTTTTCAAAATAATGAAATCAGGGAAACCGAAATGTGTCTGTCTTTGGACATTTTTATTGAATTTTCTATTTTGGGCTGAACCCATTTTATATACATTTAAAACACATTTCTGTATCGATTTTTAATGAAGAACTTCCGTCAAAGGCACTCAAACAGTAAATCTACAGTTTGCAAGGACACTCAAGCTTTAGCAATCACGAAACTTTGGCAACTTTTTCTCATTAATTCTACCTCTGATATCAGGCCAGTCCCGCCTCCTTCCATTGCAAATATTATTATGTCTAGACTGCTACGGAGGATAGATGTTCAAACTGGTTGGGTGGGCATCTGATGAAAACGAAGGAGATACTTGATATAACACCCCCTCCCCCAGTGGGAAACGAACTCATGTCTTTAGCATGTAACGATGGAGAGTTGAATCACGGCAACACGGACACTGTACGTGAGCAACCTAGATGTTATGATATAATCAGTTCAGGTTTGAGAAAATAATGTATTGGAGGTAATTTGTTGTTCGGTATTTCTGGATCGGAAAAGTAAACTTGTACGGTATTCAAGTCTTAGTCTTAGTATACTTTTACAGCGCTACTGTATTCCTTTGGGGAGAAGCACCTCAGCACGATAACAGCCATTTACGGTATGAAAAAACCCCCAAGACAGATAAAAGAAAGATACAACGGGGGGAACGTAAAGAAGTTGAACTGACCAGTGCCCCCCTCCCAACCCACCACCCATTCCACCCCACCCCCCCCCCCCCAAACTACGGGCACTGCATTTTTGTGTTCATTTCTGTTTCAGCTGAGTGCACTTGAAGAAAAAGTCAATACTTTGGAGCATGAAGTCCGCAGGCTTAAGGATAAGGATACAGCAAAGTCTAACTGTGAAACTGAGGCAGTCAGGGCTGAAAAGGGCGGCGAAGAGACGAATGCGGAGGTTGTAGGCTACCCCGAGGTAAAAATTCTGGAGGCCAGGCGGGAGATAGTCCCAAACGGAGTTATGTTTACCGTACGTTATTCTACTGACGGCCAGCATCCACTTTTTATCGAGTGGAGAGACAAGGCAAAGAACAATGAAAAGCTTGAAGATCTCGAGGACGACCCCCGCCAACAGTACGGCCCTGGGGTACGGGAATCTCGAGTGATTACCAGCTCCAGAAATGGCAGCGTCGGTGTTATCATCAATGGTTTAACTGCTTGGAACTCTTTAGTGTTAGCGAACGACGGGAAGACCGATCTCGTGCAGACTGATATCCCGGAGCTCACTCTGAAAGTGACACCCCCTGGTGACTTGGTCTACGAGCCCGGGAGAAACTTGACCATGAAGATAGAAATTCTGAAGCCCGGAAGAGACAGTTTCAATAGCCCAACATTTGTGCTTATCGATCCAGAAACAGGGGACCTCAATATAACAACACGCGAGCCTCCTTCGGTAATCGCAACAGACATCAAGAAAACAGACTTACTGGACACACAAGAGCTGGAAGCGACGCTTATGACGTCAGTGATCCCCACAAGAGGTGTCATCGTGCTTACAGTGGGGAGACACCACATGGACGAACCGGAGAGCTTGGTGAGGATGATTTTGAAAAGTCGCCTGGTTGTACTAAGAGCTTCCAACCAGGCTGGACCTTTCCCTGAAGGTTTCCTGCAGGTCTCCACAGACGATGCCATCGGAAAAAAGATTAACGGGGTACACACAACGTTTTGCGTGGATGATATCGATGACAGCTGGAATAACTGCTTCATTGGGTGCTACGGTGTCGGTCCTGACCTCAGTGAAGTGACTCTGGAACAACTGTTGCTTGATGGGAGCAGGAAAGAGGTGGCCAGTGAGACTACTCGACCGGGAGAATACCTAATGTATGTCCACACCTCGCCCCAGCCAGATGAGCATCACAGTGACATACGCTATCAGTGTAGGGCGGTGGACAATCGTCACGGTGCCGTCGTCAGGCAGGACTATCTGGTCAAGTTTTATGTACCCGCGAACGTCATAGAAGAGGAGTCCGGCGCTTTCTGGGTCAACGCCACGACATTAGAGATCAGATGTGTGGTCCGTAGCAATACTGAACCGGACATCGACATACGTCTCAACCCGTATCTTGATGGAGTCAAAGGAGATGCCGTCGTGGTTCGGAAAAGCGACCATAAATTTGTCAGTTCCGCGTTCTTTGATCTCGAGCAGGTCACTAGACCTTTTCGCCTGCACACCAACAACTACTTTGGGATGGCCGAATGCGGTGCAAACAAAGAGGTACCAATACCAGCTACCTACAACCATGGTACATTCTTGATAGACATACCACGCCCCCCCCTCCCTGAAACGACCACAACTGCCTAGACCAGGTTGTCCCAAACGATGAGACACAGCAGAGAGCTAGTTTCCATGCTGAACTCTCTATTGTATATGTTCCTGTATTTACTTAAGACAAAAAACGAGAACAAGAACGAGAATAAGAAAAAGAACAACAACAACAACAAAAACAACATTATTTTAGTGTATTAAAAAGCAGCTTAAATTGCTCAGTTCAGTTTCTTGATTTTGTTTACATAAATTCAACCGTTTGATGTAATTGACAAAAATGATTTCTCCTGCTTTCTTGTCATTAATAAGCACGAAAATCATGTATCATTGTCGATTATTTTTGTTTTTCTTGAGAGCTTTTTCTGAAAGACCTGACGGAGCGAGCCACGTCCTAAAAAAACAAACAAACCAGGAAGCTGAGTAACATTGGTCATCACTGTAAAGGAAGGGGGAGG